AAAAATAACAGGAGGGAACATGGGAGCCTCCTGAGTGGAGAGGGTATACTTCACGTCAACTTCGGCTGATTACTTTCTGGGTAGGCTGGTATAGTAGCCACCCACGCTCAAGAGTGACAAGAGGGGTGATCTTGGGCACCTGCTGGTTTGGCCTGTGCTTCGCATAGTGTCATGTGGTGCCACAGCATGCGCCTCGAAAGTATCACAGCTGCACAACATTCATGCATGTACTTTTCTTCTAGAGGAAGTGAATAAGTTGATTATCAAAAATTGATATATTTTTGTGAAAATTTATAAAAATCAAGTTTGATATATGCAAAAGTAGTTAATATATACGAGACCCAATGTTGACAAAATTAGTCATTTATATCATCGCTATGAGTTATGCGATAACTTTGGATGCAAAATCAACGAACGGGCCGTACCACATAAGTTTTCATGTCATTATTCATAATGAATTGCGGAGTGTGTTCATTTGATTTGAGCCCCCTCTAAATAGATGTTCAAAATGATTTATACTATGTAAAAGTATTAGTTATTATATAAGAAAGCTATTTTATATTCAATGGCGATAGAAATAAGTTTTTCGAGAAAAGCCTATATTAAATAAGGCAAGATGAAAGCAAAACAATCAAGTTGAGTGTTATGGCAATTTTCCTAACCGAGTTATGATTGGCACAGGTTCGGCCAACATGAGGCTTGGCTTGTGGGAGAATTGACAATGGCCATTTGTAAAGATGTCAACATGGAAAAGGAGAAGTAGGGGCTGTTAGGGTGTGGGATTCATGACCAGACACGCAGTACTGGCAACTTGTATACACGTAGTAGAAGCGATTAGCACGCACATGGTTGAAGTGGATGGCATGATGCCAACTGGGTTTTTTTTTTTTGGTTGAAAAACGAATTTATTGAATGAAAACTACCCAAACATAAAAGCTCACAAAGGGAGCATCCAAAAATTGAGGGGGGAAGCTATCCAATTAAAAAGCAGACCATTTAATCTTTGAGTCTGGCTACCCAGTCCGCTATGGGATTAGTCTCTCATCTGCAGTGCGCTAGCTTCAAGTTTGCAAATGCGCCCATGGACCGCTGGGCCTCTGAAATAAGTGGCTGTACTTCCGACGGAGCAGAAAGTGAGTTGGAAACTGCTTCTACAAACTCTGAACTATCTGACTCCACTTCAAGCACTTCGTATCTTTTGACCTTGAGGAGAGAGAGTGCTTCGACGAGCGCTGGGGTTTCAGCGTGGAGGGCGGAGGCCACTGGAAGCTATACAAAATTGGTAGAAGGTGAACAACTTATTTCTGATTATTTTTACAATAGTTCTTGTGAATCCACCCAAGCCAAAAAAAAATTAAAGGGTGTGCAGCTCTTACTATGTAGGTAGTTAATTAATTACGACACCTTTATTAGGTCTGATATCTTGATTAAATTGTCTATATCTATTGTATATCGTTTCCCTCCTTTATAAATTGCGTAATGCCGACTCACAGGCTCGCTGGAAAGGTCCAAAAATTGAAGAAATAGGACAACGTGTGTTTATGGATGATCTAGAATAGTATACCAACACTTTTGTAGACAAATAATCTTCATTGTTTTCTTGCATATGGAGACTGGACCACTGGTTTCTCTTTATACTTGTGGAAGGGGTGGCCAGGTCTTCATTTGGTTTGTAAATTGTAATAATAGTTTTTTTTTTGTTAAGGTAAATTGTAATAATAGTTTATATTAATTAAACTCCATAATTCAGACCACTTGACCCCATCACTTATTAGAACACTACTATTTATATTGCATGTTACTCATGTGTAAAAGTTTGATGAAATTTATTTATTATATAACAGACTAAGTTCTAACTGACAAACAATATAATGTTGTCTTTTGTTTTAAACATAAATGAATATTGTAAGTGCAAGTGCACCAAATCACATCGTGTAGGCTTTGTTGTTAAGTGATATTTCGAGTCAGTTTCTATCATTATACTAAGTATATCCGACTTTATTCTATTGTCATAGCAAAAGCAAGAATCAAAATCAAATTTTAGCAGTTTGTTCTCTGATCTCCCATCACGTGATCAAAGAACTTGTCAAATTACAAATCATGCCTGACCCACCGCTCCATTAATTTGTCGTAGCTTTTTGTTTTCAATACTACAAGTTGCTCAGTTCTAAGCATAGAAAGAGAAGAACCCTAGCTGTCGTATCTTCTATGCGAATCAAATCGATTTCACTTTAGCTGTCATATCTCCTACACTAATCAACTTGATTTCATTTCCAACTCTTAATATAGGGGATCGCATATTTCTTTAAGTTATCTAGTGGGATTTTCCTTTACAAAACCACTGCATAAAATAGCTTAGTTTTGCGGTTGTGCACCGAATTTCTGAACGTCGAAATGAAACGCACATCATAACAACAATTAGGTACATTTAATCTCAGGTTAAAGGCAAATTGCACATTTCAGCAAACCCGGTGCACTAGCCTCACACGCTAACAATTAATTTGGAAACCATTATCCTAAAATAGACTCAATCCATATAATATAACCACCAACGGACTATTATTAGGCTTATCGTCGGTGTAAAAAATTTATAACCATTTATCGTTGGATGACAAATCAGTTTGGAGTAAATTTTGTCATCGAATAATAAGCTGCCATTAGTTGAGAGCGTTTTGCGTGGAAATTTCCAAATTTTCCTGGTCCATTTGGTTCTTCAATCTATGAAGAAAAGTACTCAATAGTTTTTTTTATCAGATTACGCAAGTAATCTTAACTCTGAATCACAAGGAATGTACAGCTGCCAAAAACCTGCAGAAAATGTGTGTCTAACTGCTTTAACCTCGATGGGAAAATAACTCTTTTATCAACATTTTAGCTTTTAATACTATGTTTCTATTCAATACGCCAAACTAATGGTGTTTAGGAAAGAAGAGAGATACACCAAATAGGACAAGTTCCTCGTGAAGCTAAAAACATACCTAACGCCGGGATAGAGCAGAGAAATGCTAAGGGTGAAGGACTTGTAGTAAAATTAGGTTATCGTGTGTCGTGTGATGTTGCGAATTTCAAATAAATCTTTGAGGGCTCAAATCTGTTTAAATAGTTTTGGCAAGCGAAAATTGCTTAAATGAAAGTTAGCCCTTGTGCAATTTAAACAACTAATTTAGACTCGTTCCAAAAAGAATAGTGTCGTCATTTTTTTGATATCTGCTTATAAATTTCTATCCCTTGTATGAAAACCTGCGTAGTCAGTGCAATCTCAAAAATGTTTGCCATGTTTTTTTTTTTATTTGTTAACGTCCCATGCAAGTGTTTGAACTTCCTCTGACGCGTCTCATGTTTTCGCAACATAGTGCAAGACGTAGTTAACCTTTCTAATACATAAAAAAGAAAAACCCGCAGGCCTTTGTAACCTTACCCTTCTTGCGGGAAACTTTCCATAAAAGTTCATCCTTGTCATTAAAATAAACCATATATAAACCTATATTTTTAATAGATCTACAAAACTCTCACTCAACATTATTAAACTAACTGCCAAACAATCTCAGAATCAGTCTCTCCATTTTAAATTTGAATTTGTACATCTTTCTCCCCTTGTAATTATTTAATCTCATTCCCCCGACATCATTCAAAACTCCAATTTCCATATGCGTTTATCCCTTTGAAACTTAGACTCACTATGTTCACACGCACAAGCTTGTGCTCTTTTGCCAATCATGAAAAAACAGCGTTCTCTTTGAATGAATGTCAATATCGTGTGGAAAAAACACTCGGGGTGGGTGCTTTTACTCATTCTTTCTCCTCCTTTGGTGAACGATAAACCTTAGGGAAACATGGTACTAGCAGCGCAATGTATCGTTTGCACAAGTAGTCATGTTAAGGATGGATTCTGCGATGCATCATTTGTACATTTGCTCCTAAAGACAAGAGAGAACTTGAAAAATAGAGTACAAAACCATGCAAGTATTCTTAGTAGTAATGTTGATTTTATAGAGTAAGCTACACAACCAAAAGTGATTTGCTCTGTGAGCAAATTAAAGCATAATCAAACGGTTAATGTTGTATGTATTCAAAAGCTGAATTCCGATATTATGTTGATGAAAGGATAGGTCCTGTGAGAAATGCTAGATATACCGAGAATGACTATATAAATAATTTATTAAGTGATGTGACAGATAGCAAGCTAGTAGGCCATATTCAATATCCTTTAACAATCCGATGTATCATTTTTTTCTAAAAAAGATGATGTTAGATTCAACTTCAGAACTTGAAAATCTTTGCGCCCTCATCAACATGGTCCTTCTTCCCAGTTTACCATCATTCCATTCCACAAAATTCTGAGGAAAAGAACAATGAATTTTCAACTTTTCTACTTTCTTTGAACATCTTGCAATCCGAGGACAGTGAATTTGAATCTTCATGGAGGGGTACTCGAACTATGACTCATGTGCATTTGAAATTTATTACCACAATGCAATAGATGATTTCCTTAGTTTGCTATGTATATCTGAAAATACTGCCTCTTAACATGGAAAGAAAAGGAAATGAAAAAAAGAGACTGGCCATGCAGTGAAAAAATATTTTTAGAAGTGAATAGAGCATCATGTTTTTTCCCCTGGTTAAAAAGCATGGTCTTCATGAGACTATTGTTGATCATCCATGAATGATGTGAGTCATATCACTCCTCTAATTGCGTTGAAGATACAAATAGAAGAGTCTCGCAAACTAGTTAAATCGGAAAAAAAAAAACAAGAATACTATTTAGTATCAAGAATGGCAAAAGAAAAAACTAGTTAATGGTTATTCACACAGAAAATTGTCGAGTTATAAAGAGAACGAATTGCCGGCGTCCTCCAAAGTGGCCAATAACTCCCCTGTCCAAGAAATTGATTCAATTCAACTCAACAAATGCATGTAGATAGTCAAATTATTTGATCTATTTTTAGTGAGAAATAGACCCCACAGCATCCTCTCTTTGGCCTATTGAAATGCACAGGGAAAGCATGAAAGCTCTTGGTAGATTGTGCAAAGCAAACATACCATAGATATCAATTACCCACGACTTACAAGCAGTGCACACCAATTAACTTGGAAACAACTTTCTGTTTGCTTTCTACAATGAAGCTCATCAGTTGTTGCAATACATTTATGTGAAGGTACTATTTTGCCTATTTCTGATATGCAAAAGCTACTACAATCAAAATCTCATACCTCTTCCAATATCAAAAACTGAGTTAAAACCCAAGCAGGAGGCCTCATCCTTCCATAAGGGTCACAAATCCTCTCGAGTATTACCGCCAGTCTTGGTAGTCATATGTTAGATTACTTGCAAATTGCAATTAAGGGTTCAACATCGAATGAGCAATTCCTTGAGTTCCCCCTCCAACTCAGTTAAATCGAAACTTCCGTTGCCATCGGCCTACAAATCATATTGAACAAATGCCTCAATCCAAAAAAATACAAAATAAATATAAAAAGATTGACAAGAACCATGTAAACCTGTACATTCAAAATAAATATTACTTGGGTTACTTACCAGCTCGCAGTGGATTGTGTGGACTCCCCTATCATTGACTTGACTGGAAAAACAGCTAACAACATCAAGTCCTTGTTGAAGAAGTAGCTCTAGTACAGTAGATAACAGCAAATCCTTTTCCCTGATGCTTCGGCTGATCACGATTTCCACGCTCTCGCGACTTGAATTGACCATAAACGTGGTCGAGCATGAAGAAATAGAGCCAGGAGAGTCGAGGGCAGCCATACTATGAATGCCCTTGAGCTCGTCTCTCTTGAAGGTCAGCTCTCTGATCTTCGCCTGCAGGTGTTTGATGTAATTCACGGCCTCGTTCATGTGATCCGACATAGAACGCTTTCCCTAAAAAGAACCAGTGAAACAAAACCCTAATGAACATTTTCATGTAATGTCTTGCCTCTTCGTATTATCACACAATTAAGCACACTCACACTTGCGCCGGCACAGAAGAAGAGAACAAAGACTCAAAAGGTAATTAGGTTATTCACCTTGACGAATTCGAGGGGCAGTTTGGATCTGAGACTTGTGCAAAGCGAAGCCATTTCTTGCCGTCTTTGCCTCTCGATCTCTCTATGCTTTTTCTTCCGATCGCCGTCATCATCGTCTTCACCAGTCCTCTTGTGATAATTAGTGATGGAGAACTTTCGTCGGTTCTTCACCACTTTAAAATGGGCACTACTACTTTCCATATAAGAGCGTCCCAGGATAAGATCTTTGGGGATCTTGTGTTGTTGGTGGGGGTTGGAAGAACAGCTCATTGCTACTGTGTTATGTCTGGGGGATACGTTTGTTAGGGTATGTGATTATGGGCCTAAGATGCTTCGTTTTCTAGTCTTTTCCCTTCATTGGCGACGGGTAAGCAAAATTAAATAATGGGGAATTGCATTATTGTGAGGACCTCTAAATGGACTGCTAATTAAATTAATTAAGAATGTTATTTAGGGCTTTCTTTTCGTTGTGGCCCTGTGGGCACTGTACATTTGTACGAAAGTACGGCCTAACATCTGAATTCACATTTAAGGGACCATCGTTCCCACATACTAATAAATGAATGCATGTCTCCATCCCATATGAATTTCAACATGTGTACTAAATTCATGGCCATCAAGATTACAAGTCCAAAAGTGAGGAAACACTAACATGTCTGTTCACATGGTTACTCTACCACTTTTTTGTTTTTTTGCTAGAATACTCTACCACTTATATCTAGTGGCTTCACACTAATTATAGATGCTATCCGATGAAAGCCTTTTCCCCATACTATTGATAAGAGGAAAAATACACCAAAAAATTTAAATTATCCTCACTGTAATACCAATACCCTAATTTTTTTTTGTGTTATCAAAACCTTCGAACTTGTACCGGTGTGACAAAAATACTCTATATTTACCACAAAAAAATCCTAAACTTTGCCCAATTGATACCACTACTCTCGAGCTTTTATGTCGCATCATCAATATTCTAAACTTATACCAGTGTGACAAAAATTTAGGATATTCAATCAAACTGGTGCAAGTTTGGCGCTCTTGGTGTCACAAAAAAGCTTGGGATATTGACGTCACAGTGATCATAGTTTAGATTTTTGGTGACATAATAAAAAATTTGGGGTATTGGTGTAATAGTGGGCATATTTTTAGAATTTTTTGTGGTATTATCGATTGATATATGATAAAAAAGTTTTTGCATCTATATCCTCTTATACTTCTTGCCCCAATTGGCATAGATGTGTGGTACACATTCCACGATCAGCTGCAAGCAACAACAAAGCCACAATTTGTAAAAGGCCTGCAAAAGATGATCTTTTTTGGTCGAATTGCAAAAGATGATTTCAATGTAAAGCATATATTACAGGTGTAATTATGACCCAACCCCGTCCATATGTTACGATCCCACATCAAATTTGTCTACAGCCAAGTCCAGATCTCTCTTTTGACCCAAAAAAAAGCCAGATCTCTCTACTCTCAACTCTGACAACTGTTCAAGCAATTGGGAACATCTAATCGTTTGCATTCTTCGGATAGCTGGCACTGATTAAATCTCCACATCAGAATTTCCCAATCTAAATTGACTGTATGAATTATAGTTGAAAATTGTCAAAAGATATAGGATTACATTGGTCAAATTGAACAGTATATGACTATATTGGCATTCATACAATAAGTTTAGGATTTTTTGGATAATTTTTCTCATTAAATTTAATCTTCATTTACAAGTCATACTTTATGCCAAAAAAATGGTGATATGAATTTGATAATATTAATTCGATTCATGATTTCTTCTTGTTGGAATTTATCAGTTTCTTGTTAAAACTCTCAACACTTCAAAATAGGTAGACTGAGAAAAAAAATTTATATATATCATTGGGCATTGAAGATTTTTTGAGTGTTCAAATGACTTGCACTAGTGTGGTGATATGAACTGAAACCTAAAGGAAAACGAGAACAACAAACACGCTTAAACTTACGTAAAGCCGTGAAGCTCTTGAAAATATGGCACACCATTCACAATTGGTGTTGCGATTTTGGGCTTGCTCATGTTTGTTGGATCCTAGCTTCATCATCTGATTTTGCCTAGACTGTCGGATTCGGGTTGGATAAAGTGCTCAAGGCCTTAATAATAAGAGTTTTCAACCCCTTCAGTTGCTTAATATGTAGCTAGTCAATAAATTACGACCCTTTGTTAGGTCTGATATCTTTTACAACAGGTTCTATGTCAACAAACTTTTATATGTATCTTAATATATCTTAAGATATCTTCTTCCCTCCTTTATAAGTCAATTTAGCATGGCGTAATGTTCACGCCCCCAATACCCTAGGCTCGATGGATGGTCCAAGAATTGAAGAAATAGGACAACGCGTGTTTACCCGTGATATAGAAAAGTATACAATAATGTCTGGAGAGCAATGGAGACTGGACCCTGGTTTCTCTTTATGCATGTGGAAGGCGTGGCGAGGGCTTCATTTGATTTGTAATCATAGTTTATATTTAATTAAACTCCATGATTCAGACCACTTGAGCCAATACGCTATCAAAATATAGCAATTTACTCATTTGAATACTAGTGTATACGTATATATTATGTGTGTACTTGCGTGTGGAAAAGTTCAATGAAACTTATTTATTATATGAGAAGCTACGTTTTAACTGATGGACTATACAATATCGTCCAAAAAACTATGGTAGGGCAAAGGCACCCAATCACATCATTTAAACATTAATTTCAAGTGATATTTCAAGTTAATTTTTCTCCTGATACTAAGTATATCTAACTCTATTCTATTGTCATAGCAAAAGAAAGAATCAAAAGTTAGTAGTTTGTTCTCTGATTTACCATAACGTGATCAAAAAACTCGTCAAATTACAAATCATGGCTGACCCACCGCTCCATTAATTTGTCGTATCTTTTTGTTTTCAATACTACGAGATGCTCCGTTCTAAGCAGAGAAAGAGAAGAACCCTAGCTGTCATATCTTCCACAAATCACGTTGATTTCACTTAGCTGTCATATCTTCTCCACTAATCAAACTGATTTCGCTTTACTGTCCTATATTCTACATTAATCAAACTGATTTAACTTTCCAAGTCTTGATTAGGAGATCACATATTTCTTAATTTTTCGACATAGGATTTTTTCCTTCACAAAACCACTATATATAATAGCTTAGTTTTACGGTTATGCACCGATTTTTTTAACGTTATGAAACGCACATTATAACAAAAAATCTCAGATTTGTTTAAGTCTTTTGGCCAACCCAATTTGTTTAAACGAAAGCTAGCCCTTGTACAACTTAAACAGCTAATTTGGACTCACTCCAAAAAGATTTATGCCGTCGCTTATTTGATACCTTGGTAAAAATTTCTATCGCTTGTATGAAAACCTGCATTCTCAGTGAAATCTCAAAATGTTTTCCATGTTCTTTCATATGTTAACGTCACATGTAAGTGTTTGAACTTCCTTTGATGCGTCTCATGTTTGTTTCTCAACATATTGTAAGGCGTAGTTAATCTTTCTATACATAAAAAGGAAAATCTCAAAGGTGCTTTGCAACCTTAACCTTTTTGCGGAAAACTTTCCATAAAAGCTCATCCTTGTCACGAACATATATCATATATAGCCGTATACTTTTAATAGATGTACGGAACTCTCACTTAAAATTATCAAACTAACTGCCAAACAATCTCAGGATCTCTCTCATTTTGTAATTATTTGATCTCATTCCCGTGCAATCATTCAAAACTCCATTTATCACATGTGTTTATACCTTTAAAACTGTTGTTCACTATGTTCACACTCACAAGCCTGTGCTCTTTTGCTAATCATGAAAAACAGCGTTCTCTTTGATTAAAAGTCAATATCGTACCGAAAGAACCCTCGGGTTTAGGTGCTTTTACTCATTTCCTCCCCTCCTTCGGTGAAAAAGAAGAAAAAACATAGGGAAACATGGTAATAGGTGCGCAATGTACATTTGCTCCTAAAGACTAAAGAGAACTCGAACAATAGAGTACAAAACCCTGGAGGCATTTTCAGTAGTAACGCTGATTTGATAGAGCGAACTACATAACTGAAAGTGGTTTAATACGTTAGCAAATTAAAGGATAATCAAAAGATCAATGTTGCATGTATTCTAAAGCTGGATTAGAAGTATTATGCTAATGAAAGGATAGATCTGCGACGAATGCTAGATATACCAAAAATTGTTTACTACGAGATGTGATGGACTGCAAGCTAGTAACACATATTCAACATCCAATAACAATCAGCCACATCATTTCTTTCTGAAAAAGATGATAGTTAGATTCTACTTCAGAACTTGAAATCAAGATGGTTCGTCTTTCACTTTACCAGCTTTTCATTGCACACAATATTTTAAGGAAAAGAACAAATGAGTTTTCAAATAGTCTACTTCCTTTTGAACATCTTGCTATCCGGGGCCAATGAATATGAATCTTCGATGAGTGGTACTCAAACTGTGAGTCATGTGCATTTGAAATTTATTACCACAATGCATTATATGATTCCCTTATTTTGCTATGTACATTTGATAATCTATCCTGTAATTATGCAGAAAAAGAGCAAATATATGATAAAAAGACTGACCATGCAGTAAACGGATACAATTAAGTATGAATCGAGCACCAGATTTTCTCCCTGGTTAAAAAGCATCGTCTTCATAAAACATTGCTGCTCATCAATGAATGATGTGAGTCATAGAAGAGTTTTGCAAACTTGTTAAATCTGACAAAAAAACAAGAACACTATTATATCAAGTATAGCAAAAGAAAAACCAGTTAATGATTATCCACGCAGAAAATTATCAAGTTATATGGAGAACGAATTGCTGGCGTCCATGTTTATGGATCTAACTTCCAATGGGGCCAACAACTCCCTTGTCCAAGAAATCGAGTTCAATACAACTCAACAAATGCATATAGATAGTCAATTTGTATGACCTATTCTTGGTTAGAAATCAACCCCATAGCATCCTCACTTTGGCCCATTGGAATGCATGATTTCACACAGAAACTGAGTTGGAGATCATGGGAAAAACATGAAAGGTCTTTGGTAGATTGTGCAAAGACAACATAATGAATATCTCAATTTCCCACAACTTACAAGCAGTGCATACCAATTAGCTAGGAAAAATTCTTGCTGTTTGCTTTCTACCAAGAAGCTCATCAGTCGTCGCAATATGTTTGTTTTAGCCATATTTTTCCTGTTCTTTATTGTGTGGAAGGTACTATTTTGCAAATTTCAACATGCAAAAGCTACTACAATCAAAATCTCATACCTCCTCCAATATCAGAAACTGAGTTAAAAACAAGCAGGAGGCCTCATCCTTCCAGATGCGTTGCTCTAGGAAATTAATTTCCATAAGGGGCACAAATCCTCTTTAGTATAACAACAGTCATGGTAATCACATGTTACATTACTTGCGAATTGTAATCACGGGTTGCATGTTGGAATGAGCAGTTCCCTGAGTTCTCCCTTCAAGTGAGTTAAATCGAAACTTCCGTTCCCATACGCCTACAAATCATGTTAAACAAATGGCTCAACCCAAAAAAATGCAAAAGAACTACAAATAAATGGCAAGAACTTTGTAAACCTGCAAATCTAGAATAAATATAACTCGGGTTACTTACCAGCTCGCACTGGATTGTGTGGACTATCCTATCAGACGTTTGACTGGAAAAACAGCTAACAACATCAAGTCCTTGTTGAAGCAGTAGCTCTAGTACAGTAGATAACAGCAAATCCTTTTCCCTGATGCTTCGGCTGATCACGATTTCCACACTCTCGCAGCATGAATTGACTGTAAACGTGGTGGAGCAGGAAGAATTGGAGCTAGGAGAGCTGAGGGCAGCCAAACTATGAATGCCCTTGAGCTCGTCTCTCTTGAAGCTCAGCTCTCTAATCTTCGCCCGTAGGTGTTTGATGTAATTCACGGCCTCGTTCATGTGATCTGACATCGAACGCTTCCCCTTAAAATACGAGTGAAACAAAACCCTAAATTACATTTTCATGTAATGTTCGCCCTCTTCATATTATCACATAATTAAGCACAGTCACACTTGCACAGGCACAGAAGAAGAGAGCAAAAACTCGAAAGGTAATTAGGCTTTTCACCTTGATGAATTCGAGGGGCAATTTGGATCTAAGACCCACGCAAAGCGAAGCCATTTCTTGCCGTCTTTGCCTCTCAATCTCTCTATGCTTTGCCTTCCTATCGCCGTGATCGCCATCTCGGCCGGTCCTCTCATGGTAGTTAGTGATGGAGAACTTTTGCCGGCGGCTCTTCACCACTTTAAAAATGGAATTGCTACTTTCCATGAAGGAGCGTCCCAGGATAAGGTCTTCGGGGATCTTGTGTTGTTGGTGAGTGTTGTTGGAAGAACAGCTCATTGCTGCTGTGTAAAGTGAAAATTAGCTCTAGATGGAGCGGTTTAAATACTCATTTAAGTATAATAGATGGAGATACGCTTGTTAGGGTATGTGATTATGGGCCTAAGACGCTTCGTTTTCCAGTCTCTTTCTTTCATTGGCAAAGGGCGAACCGTATTAAATACTGGGGAATTGCATTATTGGGAGGTCCCCTAAATGGACTGCTAATTCAATTAATTAAGAATGTTATCTGGGGCAATCTTTTTCATGTGGGCACTATACATTTGTACGAAAGCAGGGCCTAACATCTGAATTCACATTTGAGGGGCCATCATTCCCATGTGCTAATTAATGATGAAGATGTGTATCCATCCAATGTGAAGATCAACATGTGTCACTATCAAGATTACATGTCCAAAAGCGAGGTAACAGCAGTAGTTCACACGGTTTACTCCACCTACTTATATAATTATATAGTGAAATCTTTTTCCCAAGACTACTATAAGATATGATGAAGTCAATGTATATGCCACCATTAAGACAGTAAATGCAGTGTTTATGATGAAAAGAACCATCTTCATACGGTAATTATTGATGATGTGATTTGCTGCTTCTTCTTCTTCCTCTTTAATTGGACATTGCTGCGTTCCAACTAATATGGGAGACACTCCTAAAATTTTGCACCTGCCATTCAAACTGACTGGACCCTGACAGGCTAACACTATGTCAAAACAAATGGGGTTTTTTCTATGTTAGAAAGTTCTCGACTACAAGGTCTTTTCGAAGATTTTCAGGACAATATTTCTTAATTCCATAATCAATTCTAATGCGCAATGCCATCCATAAACTTTTAAATTGTGCAATTCGACCCCCGAACTTTGGCCAAAAATAAAATATCATCCCTAAATTTTTAATTTGTTCAATGTGATTTCCGAACTAATGGTAAATATTAATGTAGTCATTTCGTTTGCTCAAGCGACAAATTGGACGTTATTTGATGACTTAAATTAGTATATAATGAATTGGACTATTAAAAATAATGATTCGACATGTCCATTCAGGGACATCAAATATTCCCCATGGAATTCGTTTTTCCTGATTTAAGATGAACTTATGTGGACGATTCACGTGTAAGTCTTTTTATGTCCACTGGTTAAACTTAACGGATTGGAAGCTACACAGTAGATTGCATTAACTGAAATTAACAGAAGAACAACATTAAATATTTTCATATAGTTTAGGGATTAAATTAAACATTGAATAATAGTTCAGGGAACATATTGAACAAATTAAAAGTTCAGGGACAATATAGCACATTGGATCAAAATTCTTGAACAATTTATACCATTTTCCATATTTTGTGATAAAAATCAAGTGATTGAGGTTCCATTTGTTTTATAGAAAATGAATGTTTTAAAATGATCGCTAATATCACTTAAAAAAATGAATAAACGAAAAATATTTTCACCGTCCACAAAAATATTTAGATATAAATTGTTGTTGATAATGATAATATTTTACACTGAATAATTATTTCGCTCGATATAAATGATCATTTTTTAGAAAATATTGTTCAAATCATTTATTTTTTGCGAAATAAAGAAGCCTAAAACTCCAATCATCATAATTCATTAGGTTTTTAAAATTGAAAACTTGTACGCATTAAGGAAAATTCCGATTTTCGTGATCTAGAAGATTGAAAGAATTTAAATGGGAGTAAGGTTGAACATTTTCCTTTGATGTCACCCGACAAGCTGATGACTTTTTCCCTTATGATCGGAATTGAAGGCCGATGGGGGTCCGGGTCAACCTCGTGAGTCACGCCAAAGGCGCGTAACTCTGGTCTATGTTTCCACCTAAGAATATGTGGCAATAATTGAAGCCTCATTATCCCTTTCACAATTACTTAGTTGCGACCTTTAGAAATATATTTTTTTTAATCATATCTCTAACTCTTCTCACTCCCTTACTTATATTCTATTTCTTGCAAAGCATAGAAGTCGAACCTCACACCGGTGATATTAACGTCCCCACCCTCCAATCCCTTTACCGGCAGGATCGCATGCCTATTGGCGACCTTTAGAAATATAGGTCATTGTTTCTATAACAACTTCACTTTCCAATCAACCTCGTGTGTTTCTGTTTCTTTCTTCCTTCTTCTTCTTCTTTCTTTTTTTTGGGGGGGGGGGGAGGAGAATCAATTCTCTTAGACTTATAGATAGACCTAACCCTACAAAACTCCTAATTTTAGCTCCAATCCCGATTCTACCTTAAACATTTTTTTATCTCATAAAAAATCTCCAACTTTAGATCTAGTCCCAATTCCATCGTAAACCTTTTTTTGGTCATAAAAAACCCTCAACTTTGGTCCAATCCCAATTCTACCCTAAACATTTTTGTCTCATAAAAAAACCTTAGTTCTAATTTTACCTTGGGTAAGAGTGATTGTAGCAGTATTTATACAAATTTGGACGGTGTTTAGCTCAAGGTGCAGTTGCAACTAGCAACTGGAAACTCTTAGTTGCGTTAATCGATGCAAACGGTGGTGCATTTATCAAAATGGAGCCTATTGAGCCAACAGCGGTGAAATTGGCATTCTATTGTGGCTAGCACTTTCAAGATATTCATGGCGGCTGAGCTTACAAGGGACTGTGGGAAAACACCAATAATCAACTTGCAGTTAAATAATTATGACTTGGATCAAACATCTAGAAATTGTTAAAATAATGCCTATGAACTAGACTCGTCAAATGGATGGATCGGGTCAGGTCGGATCGAAAATGGTCCAATCCATATTGACTAATATCCATACAATACAATTTTAGTGACCCATACCCGACCCAATCAATACTCAACACATGCCCAACCTGACCCATTATTGCTAAAAAACTTCAATATTATCTAATTTAGAAAAACTTATTTCTTATAAATTTTTAAATATATATATTGCTAAAACACTATGGACAAATTTTGTAATTTTTTATATTTATTTTTTTTCTTTTCCTTTTCTTTTTTTTTTCTACGTCAGGCAACCGACAACCAGCGACGACCAACGACCAGCGGATGCGATGACTAGGGACCAGGTGTTAAATATGGATTATGTAAACAACCCATCATGACCCATTTTAACAAACCTTATTTTTTCATTGACCCATTTTTAACCCACTTTTTGTTAAATGAGTTACCCATTTTTAATAGGGGCCCATTAAATATGAGTTGTAATGTCAGCACTACCGTGAACAAAGCCGGTCCAAAAGTGCCACGGAATCGACTTTGGTGTCGATAATGAAAGTCCTATTTGGACTTTCTGTTGCAAATTCGTGGAAGTTCGAAAGCTTCCTACAAATGGTGAGTTTGGTTCAGCATTTTTAAGGAGTTTTAGGGAAATCCAAAGCAGTTTAATCGAAAGGGCTTTTCAAAAATAATTTAACTTGGTGTTAGAGTTGGCGAAGCCAACAGTTTAACTTTTCTTTATGAAGTGCATCCAAGTGCATGAGACAAGTGTCTAAGTAAATAATTGCGTTGAATTTTAAGATTGAGTAATTGTCTTGAACAAAATTGCGAAGACTAAACTCAGTATAATTCATTAAATGCACTTATAGACATGAAAGCACAAAAAATGTTCAAATGACTTAAAGTGTGGTTGTCATTTTCGCTACAGCGCTTGATTTATTGTGCTGCTTTTTAATGTATGTCACATTAATCTAATTAATAAATTCGGTTGTCTAGCTTCTTTCTTAATTTATTTATCTTATCGTCCGATTGCTCGATCAATAGCTCCGCGCTAAATGAACTATTTATTCAACCCAGGTCATTGTCAGAGTCACTCCAAAATCGATGCAGGTACTATTTCCCTCCGCTTGATCGTGATGCAAACCAATCAAAATTGAACATCAACAATGCAAAATTCCAATCTCCGAGCCAACCTAATCATTCTGCAATTCCAATGCCATTTTAGTTATTTCCCAAATGAATTGGAGGGATGCCCAAAGCTCTCATTAGGAAAAAAACCTGTACAGTTTGCTGCATTAACATGATGTACCTTCTCTGCTCAGCTCTTCTTCAAATCGACCACAATGACACTGATGTTATCCCAGCTCTTGCGTCCCAGAGCGAGCCGAGTAAGGAGAGAAGCAGCCAACACACTACGCGAAGGAAACAAGGCACGGTTCCCGTCGTCTTCAGCCGCCGGTCCAGAGTTGAGGTCCATAGCTGGAGGACTTCCTTCCCTAAGGCATTCGAAGGCCACTTCACAGGCCAACTCGCTCGACAGGACGTCCCACAAGCCATCACTCGCCAGTATCAAGCAATCGTCTTCTGCTTGTCTCGCCGTAAAAGTTATCTCGGGCTCTGATGTTACGACTGGCTTTAAGTATTTATCTCCTGAAATACCAAAAGTTTCTAATGATCAGTTACTCCTCACGCCACAGTAGAGAGACATCGATTACTTTCTATAGCTTACAAGAGAACTTAGCCGGCAGACAAATGTTACGAGTATCCTAAGCAAGAGGACCATCATTGTGCTTTTCACCCTCGAAGGATCACCCAAGCGAAAGAAGAGCCAATTGAAAAATAGATTGATCTAGGTGACTACAGTGACGAAAACAAAGTCTATTCGGCGTCACTCAGCAGTCCAAACATCTACTTACCCTTCGTAAAGTTAGCACCTCTACTGACTTTCACTCTACAGGTATCCGTTGAGCACCTCAGAAAGACAAATGCTTATATCCAGACCTAGCTTGTGTTTCAGCAACAAGAATTAAACTAGTAGGTGATACCAGTTCAGACAATGCCAAAACCAAGGGAATGCAAAATTGACATATTGCATCTGCAGAGTTCCGCAAGAAAGAACTACAGATAGAGACTTTGACTAATTGCACCAGTGACGCACCTAGTTACTAGGTAATGAATCGGCAGTACCTGTTTCCTTTCTTTAACCCTTTTCATGTTCTTTTTCATTTGTTTCTACCAGGTTCTTCTTGGAAAGCCAAGTTCAAGTTTTTATTTTTTCGACCTGAAGAGGTCGGTGCCACATGCTCCCTTTCAAAGCATTAGATGACCCCCCTTGTATAGAATAGCACATAATGCATGCTCTATTTAAGTTAAACTCTCTGTTCCAGTCCATACGGGTTTGCAATTTGCATGCTAAAGTGAACTTATGCCAGCAGGTTCACTCTGAAGACCATATTTGTAACATATAAATAACCATGTAGGAGAAGTCCCTGCCCACAACATAGCAATCTCTAGTGTGGACCATTTGGGAATAAATCGTTTTGGCTAACAATACTATCTTAAGTAAAAGGGAGACTTTTTAACATTTCATAACAACTCGGGCCTGCAATCACCCAAAATTAACTCCATTAATTAAGACGGGCCTTATGAATTGCTCATGTTGCAATGATTTTTACCTATGGCTCGGGACATAGCCAGAATCCCTTCAACTCTAGCTCCATTCTCGTAGATTACCCGTCCTCCAGCAGCTTCAATTCTTGCAAGTTCATCCGGTCTATCTGGCTGTAAATACAAGAATAAGGGATCTGTACACTTAACCACAGAATGAAAATCACTGGAAGATATGTGCAAAAAAAATGGAGACATTGGTTTGCCTGCTGTAAGATAACTTCTTATTAGATGCAATTCAGTAACTAGAGAATGACTTGCTTGAACCAGTTCACATACTGCAGTTGTTCATAAGATTCAAAGCATTAGTTACAGTGTAATACTCCAATTAATATCTGAGATCACCCATTAAAGCTGGACCATGCTCCTAAAATGCCTGCTTTCCTTGAATTTGGCAGTAATCAGCTCATTCTCACTGCAGCCTTCGCACGCCATGAGAAGGCATGGATTTCCTATGTGGAAGTAAGGAGGAGGAGCAGAGTCATAATGATCGTTCTCTACAAAACATTCTTGCCCAGATGTACAGCTAGCTTTCTTGACACAGAGGACAAAAAAGAGATTAACGGAACAGACAGATTGCTGAGAAGTATTTTATGAACCCAAAGAGTAGATAACTATGTGTCATACCTAACATACCAAAAGTATACCGACTTTCCTTACTAAAGGACTTAGTAGTCCAGAACATGACAATTCTGGATTAACTCCTCAAATCATGGATTCCGTATCACTTTTCCAAATCCCAGGACCAGATGATTAATATAATAACGCAAAAAACCACAGTAAGATATCTCAGCAAACCACCTTTTTTCAGAAAGGAATTTAAAAGGAGAGTAATCTAGTCTTACAAACGAAGCAAGAACTATTTCTACGCAAGAATATGCTTATTGCCATGTTTGCCTGCATTACAAATTCTCAAAGAGAAAATAGCAGTATTTAGCATCGCAGGGGAATGTCGGAACTGCGATTCCATTACATTTCAGATCCCGAAGAAAGAATTAAGAAATTATAGAAGTAGTTTATCAGCACTGTGTCTTCTAAAATCGCATAGCAAGTCATTGAACAACCTAAGCATGCTGAGGTTTTAGGGACAAATGCAAGGGCATGTTTGCAGAAGGGCAGTTAGTCTAAGTTCTGGATCTGATTTCCTTTCTCTAGTTCGATAAAGGTCAAGCTAAGCATAGTAGAATACCATTTCCAAGCGAAATGAGCATCGATGCTACTAGAGCCATGGATGGTATCATCGACCTTTGTGATATCCATGTCTCTCTAATCCACAATCCGTTTTATCCAAACAAAACAAGGGAATAGGTCCTAATTTCCTCATCTCCTTATTCATGTGGGTGACAGTCCACCATACAGGATAGATTATAAATTCCATCCTATCATGCCGTTCCACTCTGTCATCACAATTCAGCCGAAAAGAAGATTTCATTAGAAGGCGAGTAGGTAGACAATGAATTGGACAACTCCAAAACAAAGGGGCCGGCGATGGATGATGGTCACGTCAAGAATCTCATCTAATGTAAGAGAAGCTCCTAGCAACATCTGTCAACTGCTCGCGCAAACACGTGTCGATTGCTTCTAATTCTAAAGACTCTGTCTGATACTGAGCGGTCCACACGCCACACCATCCGTCAAAGAGTTGCCTCTGCCCGGACCGGGTCCCCCCCAAAAATGCCCCTTTATCCAACCAAAAGACTACTCCCATTTGCTGCTTTTAGAAGCTGAGATGTCCCCTGTTCATGAGAAAAGCCAAAGGAGAAAGGAAACCAAACCTTGTGATCGCGCGAGAGAGGAACGACCTTCCCGCCCCGGCACAGGACGGCGCGAGAGTCCCCGCAGTTGGCGACGACGATCCGGTCGGGGGTCAGGACGGCGGCCACGGCGGTCGAGCCTCCGAGCGCCAACTCCATGGGGTGGCAACCGCACCGGGACCCGACGCTCCCGCAGGCGCACGTGTTCATCGCCACCTCGTCCATCCTCCGGAAACTCGTCCGCATCACTTCCCTCCACGCATCGTCTTCATCAGCTTGCTGCTGCCCTCCCGCCCGCGTCAACTCCTCCTCCAAGAACACGTGCATCTTCTCCCTACATAATCTTGAAACCTTCATGAGGAAAAAAATGAATTGTTCAGTTCCAAGAAATCATGAAGCTCGACGCACGATAAGCTGTTCCGCGTCAGTCTCACGTGCACAAGCTCGATAACAACTAATAGAAAATCGTCCAGCCAGGCTTTTCAGGCTTTAGGTATTAATTTACGTGTATCACCGCACATACATGATGCCCTCCGTGGCCATCGAACACGGCGAAGAAGTGAACCGGCCGCCAGCGGCTTAACTCCGGCCGGCAGAGCCCCGTCCACACGGATATCGCGTCCTCCATCTCGCGCGACCTTCCGCACACCGACACCGCCCCGTAACACTCAACCGACGTCGTCGCCGCAACCACGGCCGCCGGCTGCGGCGGCGGCGGCGGCGGCGCCTCCGCATCGTCGCCGGACGATGCCGAGGAGGAAGAAGGGAGGAGGCAGCAGCTCCCGTCCGACGCGCGGATCCGCTTCGCTCCCGAGGCGCGGGGGCTGCTCCCCCGGCGCGGCCGCCCCCCGGGCAGGGACCGGGCTGCGGCGACGGCCCGGCGGCCGAGACGGTGGAGAGCCGCCGCATCTCTATCCTCCGGCGGCGCCTCTCGCGGCATTTGGCTGGGGAACCGTCATCTCCTTCGCTCAGCATCCTTGGACGACCCGAAGCTACCCTTTACGACCATGTTCGCATAGTCTCCGGCGCCCCAAACTGATCTACCAAACACGCCCTCGCACCAATGAACACGAAAACGAACGTAAAAAATTGAAATTTAAGCGAGGGAGAGCGAGAGAGACAGAGAATATTTTGCGTGCGTTTTTCAAGTCGAGAGGCTCGTGTCGTGATGGGGGAGAAAGGAGCCACCACAACGTGTTGGGTATCCTCTGAGAAATCCAGAGGGCGGGGGGAAAGGGCAGGGAGGCTGGCTGACCGAGCTGACCGGCACAGGCCGGTCAGGGCGCCGGGGCGACACGTGTGCGGCATGGCGCCTCATCCCCGCGAGAAGACGATTTTCCTGTCTGCCTTGGCCCCACCCCTTTCTTCCGCGGTCAATTTCCCCGTAGCCCCGCATCGTCTCGCAGAGCCTGGACGGCGCGACACGTGGCGGGTGCTCTTGGACAAAAGGGCGGGTTGTCTGGAGGGCCAGGAGCGGACAGGTGTCGCGCCTCCTGGATGCCACGTCGACATTTCTTGCGGGCGGGCGGGCCCACGATACTACTCCTACTCTATCGTCCTGTCCCCTTTTGCCAGCTGCTTTGAAATTTGCTTTTCGTTTTTTCTGACTTTATTTTTCTCTCTCTCTTTGACCTTTTTTCTTTAAAATCCTGTCTGACCGAGGTAATCGCTGTCGGAGCCGGAAGATGCGTGGGGAGATGGGGAGCCTGCCACGTGTCGACGAGAAGAGGCGCGGTCCCCGCGGTCCATACGTTGGGTCGGCTGACACGCTGGAAATTAATATTTGTTTTTGTTTTTGCTTTCGCGGCCGCACGTGCCTGTCCCCGTTCGTTCACGCGTGCGTGGATCGTTCGGCTTTGCCCCCGCTGCGTTAAGGCTTACGGGACAAATTCATAAGGACGGACTTCTTCTTCTTAATTTACTGAACAGTGTACAGCTTATTTTAGAAATCGGAATCCGTGAATAACCTCTCTTATAAATACGAATTTTGGATTATTTCAATCAACATCGCACAAACCGGGGGAAAATTATTCGAAAAATCCTCAATCTATTGCACTTTGGCCAATCCAGTCTCAAAAGCCTTTCAAATTTTGCCAATTGAGTCCTAAACTTTTTCACGTTTTGCCAATTGAGTCCATTCGGCTAATTTTAGCCGAAAATCTCTAACGTGGACGTCGGCCATCCTATGTGGCACGACCGGCGCTGACGTGGACATTTTTTAAAAAATAAAATTCTGAATTTTGTTTATAATTTTTATTTTTTTCTTCTGTTTCTTTTCTATTTTTTCTTCCCATCTTTTTCTTTTTTTTCTACCAAAGAAAAAAAAGGAAAAAGAAAGAAAAATAAAAAAGAACAAAATAAAAATTATAAAAAATTATCTACGTCAGTACCGATCGTCCTACGTGATACTACCAACGTCTACGTCAGTGATTTCCAGCTAAAATTGATCAAATAAACTCAATTTACAAAACGTGAAAAGGCTTACAACTTTATTGGCAAAACTGAAAGGTTTAGGACTGAATTGGCTAAAGTACAATAGGCTTAGGATTTTTTGAACAATTTTCCTCACAAACTATTATGGATCAAGATGCGGTATTCTTACATTTCTTCTTGAGTGTCTCGTGCTAATTCGGCAATAGACAAATCCCCATTGAATGTAGCGATCCCTTGCCTCGCCAAATGGAGTAATTCTATGTTACACGGATTTACGTGCAGTATAAATCAAATTTAGGATCTCCCGCTCTTGAGGCAAAAATCAAATTCCCTAAAGCTGCACCCACCACGAGAGTTATACGGCACATGACTTTCGGAAGAGAATACCAATTTACCTTACAAACACGGATTTCATTGAAAAGCTGCCCCAGAAGCGCTAATTAAGATCATTGAAACTGAGATAACGCATATAAACAAACTTTGGAAATTGGGTTGATACATTTAGAAAAAGTTTCCTACTTTAAATGAAAATATTAATTCTCAAAATACAATTAACGAGACTTAATACGATGTCCGCAGACACTCCTTAACATTTTCCTATGAATATGTTGAACCAGTATGTATATTATTTAGGGTTAATACCACGAAAAACCTCAAACCAATATATTTGTGACAAATTTATCCCAAACTAATTTTTTTATCACCAAAAACTCTAAACTGGTACACCTGTGACAAATTTACCCTCCGTTAGTTTCCGTTAAATTTTGCTGTCAAATTGCTGAGTTAGATTTAACACGTGTACTAGTTTGAGGTTTTATCCCTCCGTTTGTCACGGGTTTAGCAATTTGTGATTTTTCGTGGTATTAATCCAATCTAATGAAGTTTAAATTTGTCACAGGTATATCAGTTTGGGGTTTTTGATGGTCAAAAAATTAATTTTGGGTAAATTTGTCATAGATATACCAGTTTGAGGTTTTTTATGATCAAAAAATTAATTCGAGGTATATTTATCGCATATATATATCGATTTCGGATTTTTCGTAGTATTAACCCTATCATTTAGCTAATATTATTGTGGAAAAGCTCCTATCACACCTTAAAAGAGCCGCATGGTGTGAAGTGTGAACTTACTGGAATTTCCACGAAGGTGCATAATTCATTATCACGCTATGATTCCTAGAACGTTGACTCTTTCTCGTAGATAATTAAACACGAAAAGCAATGATGAAATTACTTTACTCGTGCCACGCGTTCCCACAGTTTTTTTTCTGGATGAGGACTCCACTAAATGCAATGTGCACTTATGATTATGAAAACTTAATAATGTAATCAAATGTACGAAGATGTTGTCTATTGTTGAACGCACTGACATTGTCAAGGTTGACCTCCAAGTTCATTGGCCCGAACGAGTTGCCAATTTTAATTTAAGTATTCGTATCACTCGTGAAATTCCAACTTTAGGGTTTTGCTCCACTTCTAGCCTTTGGGGGAAAAGAAGCCTCCCAAAATATTAAAAGCAAAATAAATCTTCCCAAATACGTTGGCTTCCAAGAAATTATATGTTTTTTTTTCTTTTTTTAAACTTAATGGTGGATTTTGAAAACAAGAGGGGTGAAGCACGAGTGCCAAAAATTGGACCATATTGCCTTATTTAAAAAGAGAGGAAATGATGGTCCTTCATAATGTTTGCCCATTTGTCTCTACTTTTGAGACCCGATTCCTTTAAAAAGCGCCAACTTCAAGCTATATTCTACAGCCGAAAGAAGAAGAAGAAGCCGTATCCCAAATTTAACATCAATCTTCCTCTTCTCGTGAGAAAACACAAGCCTTAGGTCGCGTCATGATTTTTACCTGAACTTTTTTCTTTTCTCATTACAAAAAAACACAAATTTTTCAGTTTCTGTCCAATGATATCATTAAAGATCCAACGCGTCATTCCAGATGTAGGGAGAGAGACAAAGAAATGATATGTTGGATCTTTTAACGGCATCATTAGATGTAAACTTGATAGGGATTAGATTTGGGTACCGACTACAAATGAATGATTTTCATGAGACAATAAAAAGTTCATGTCATGAGATCCGACCGACCTAAAATTGATGCTTTTTAAGCGAGCTGAGCCCTATTTTTCTGGCTGAATTATGGTGTCGCTATGCATTATCACAAAAGACAGGAGCCACACGTTAAACATAAAATTTGGAAAACAACGAGGGGAAGAAGAAAAGGTAGTGGTCATGGGCCGCATGCATTGCTCAGTCCACAGGAATCGGGCCGATGTATGATTATGGTCCATAATGAAAGTCATTGCATAAGATTACTAACAAATTCGACAAATCACCATCACTAACCAAAGTTACCAATCAATCACAGAAAAATCCATGATTTCAAACGGATTAGAAGAATTTTCCCACTTATGCTCCGCTTGTTTCGCAGAAAATGGATGATTTGGAAAATATTTTCATTACCAGCAATAATTTATGTCTAAATATTTTCATGGACAGTAAAAAAAATTTCGGTTCATTCATTTTTATAAGTGATGCAAGCGATCATTTTTAGGAAAATGTTTTCCAAATCCTTCGTTTTCGGTAAAACAAACGGAGCCCCAGCCAATAAGCATGCGGCCCTGCTGGTAAAGGGATTGGAGGGTGGGGACGCTAGTATCACAGGTGCAGGTTTTGACTCCGGCGCTCTGCAAAAGTCGGAGCCTAAAGTGTCGGATTCAGCAGATGAGCAATCTACCAAAGAGCACGCTGGTTCTCTTTTTGGGGGGCCACTACAGTGACGAATCTTCTATTTTTGGGGCAACAGCATTGACATTTTGAGCACTGAGCTGAAAAAACACTACACTGGCTTCGGATTCGCATTGCAAACCTAGTTGATGCAGTCGGTCATTGTCACATTGATCTGGTAAAAGAAACGGTACAAGAGAGTGAACTGAAATTTAGGTGAATGACAAAATGAAGGTCTCATGGCTCTCAACAATCGATTGCTTATTGCAAATTAGGAAACCACTGACGCTTCTCTCCACTAGAAGTCCTTGAGGCTTCTCATGCAGGTGGCAGCCACCAGCCATGTGATCACAATGGGGCTTCTCACTTTGTGAACCCCATCCTTCCACACCAAGCTTCCGAACTCCGGCCTGTTCTGCCGAGCCGTCGTCGTGAACGTCACCTTGTACGTTAGCCTCTGATGCTTCTGCGTGAATTTCAGGGTGCTCGGGTCGACTCGGACCGACACGCCTTGGATTGGCGACACCGCCACGCAGTAATTGGAGACCGGAGGGCCGACGTTGGTGACGGTTCTTTGGATCGTCAGAGAAGTGACGGACGCCTTCTCTGGGAACACGACAGAGATGGCCGGATAATTCAGGTCCCCGGCTCTGGCGATCGAGTGATGGCAAGATCGGTTCGCGTATTTGGCGAAAACCTTGAGCTGCGTCGGAGTTAGCTTTTGCGCACAGAGGAACTCGAAGTAGCCCTGCGCCTGGATGTCGTAGACCAAGCCCGGATCGAGGGCCTTCAATGGGTTTATGTGGCCGGCCCCGTGATCGTACGGAGTAGAAGATGCGGCAGTGGACGCATCCCGGAGAGGTTTGCGAGTGTTGTCGTGGACATAAGCTGTGGTCATGAGGGCCGACTTGATTGCCGCCGGGCTCCAATCTGGGTGCCTCGCCTTGAGCAATGCGGCGACACCGCTCACGTGGGGGCACGACATTGAAGTACCCGACAGGATGTTGAATTTAACC